GTGTGTTATGCTTCATCTACGTTTCCGCAAAAATCCTGAACCGATTTTGAAAATTCAAAAACCACTCCAGTTAGGAATTGTGGTAGTTTCTGGAAGAGATAGAAATTGTGGTAGTTTCTGGAAAAGATTGAAATTGTGGTAGTTTCTGGAAGAGAGTGGTCGAGCCTTTTCTTCAAACATCTTTAAAATAAAGTTTTAAGTTAAACTTAGTTAAAAAAATAAGTTCTTGAACATCTTAAAATTTTCAAACGTTCAAAGCCACGTCAATATTTCAAAATTCAATTGGGAAGGAAAGGGGATGTTATGTTACCAAGTTACTAAGAAGGAGATAGGTGTCTAAAAATGCCTAAAAAAGGTTTACGTAATTAATGGACAGCCCCTCTTATCTATGATCTACAGTAAAATGCCACATTCATCTAGTTTTAAAACGTTAATCACTTCTGAGAAACAAAATCTTCTATTTGTTGAGGTTATCAAAAATTAACTATATTTAATTAATGATATCTACTACAATCAACTAGAGTAAAGATGTAATAAAATTAGTAAGACAAAAACTGCGTCATTGTTAATGAATCAATATTTGCTTACTAATAATAATCTAATATATATTGTTATTAATAGATGACCTATTTTGCTGCTCTGATACAAAACATAAGTTACAAAATATTTTCAAAAATACCCAAAAATATAATTCCTTTTCCATTTTGAGAAATGGTGGTATATGATCTCATGCAAGGAGGCTATAGCACCACTTGTTCATAATGGTTTCGTTTTGGTACTGCTCTGACTTCAATACTCTCTCGTGAACCGGGGTTGTAGTATTACTATATTATATTATATTATATTACATTATATACATATATACATGTTCAAGAATTATATACGTTTATTCAAACACACATACATGTGTTCAAGATATCTATTGTACAGACCAGACGCGATCGAATAAATCAGGAACGAAATGGTAATATGGAGGACACTGGATTTATAATAAAGGACACTGGACTTGATTATTTTTTACAATTAACAATTGCTATAAAATGGTATTTGTTTTAATATATTAATGTCTGGCTTGTTTGGAAGGCAACCCAATGGTTTTCATATCCAAGTATAGTCTATGCTCAGCAAACCATTTTTTTCTTCATATTTTTTATCCAGCAATGCCTCCAAAAAGGCTGTTTGCACTTGAAATCATATTTTTGATCTATGATCTCAAGTTCAAACCTGATACCATACTGCTTGATACCGAGCTGACAGAGATTGGATTCTAACCTTGGACTCATTTATCCAGCAATACCTCCGAAAGGCTGTTTTCACTTGAAATCATATGTGTGAATTATGATCTCAAGTTCAAACCTGAAAACATATTGCTTGATACCAAGCTGGCCGATATTGGAATCAAACCCTGGTCTCGATACTTAAAAATGTAAATTATATTACTCTTCTAACTTCTTTATTGATCAAAATACTTGATATTTTTCAGAAATAAACAGAGTAAGAATATTTTGGTAGTATATTGTTAAAAGAAATTCTATTAAACCATATTTCAAGACTTTCAATCCATATTTCAAGACAATAGTTTGTTGAATGCACAGGAAATAAAATAAATAAATACAGTATTACACAAGAAATTAGTAATACTTAAATATAAGACTTCTTTATTAAGTAATATTGCAGTACCGTTACAAATTATTGTATATATTTGAACAAATTAAACCATTGCAAAATACTAGCATTTGAATATTATTTATGACCATGAATACAGTTATTTTATACAATATTTAAAACCGTTAAAATTTTTATTAAAAAAATGAAAATGCTAAAAAAAACTAGTTCCTCGAAATTTGAAAAAATGCAATAGCGCGAGAAGGTAGAGTTCATTTGCTCATTTTAAATCCTATTATTATTTTACCTTGGTGTGGTTTAAAATAGTTTCTGTATCTGAAAAATATGTACTCCGTATTTTTTCTACAATTTTGTTGTAAAACCGTAATCCTCTTAAAAATAAGAAGGATATTGACCGATAACCCGGAGGTCCTAAAATGCGATTAAGGACCTTCCTGGAACAGGTGTTAATCCTCCTTTGCGCACTTAGATAGTTAAAAGTATGTATGAAAAATTTGAAACAACTACATTTCGTAAAAAACACACTACCTGGTAAAAAATGGCTTAAAAAGATATTCACATTTAGGTATTAAAATTATATTTCTGTAAAATTTCGGTAGAAAAATCATTACTCGAAAAAAATCTCTAAATAAAAAGTATAAAGGCCAGGCATTCGAATACGTTTAGATTTTTTCTCACTAGAAAACTATCAAAATAAACTTTCTCATAATTCTTTGAATCTTAAAATAAACATATAAAAAATGAATGAAAATATTTTGAAATTTACTAAGCTTTGATCATTTCCCCAAATTCATATAAATATATTTTAATGTGTAAATATCAAAATATATGAAAATAAGCAAATAAATTTATAAAAATAACGTTTGCAATTTTTAAATATTTTTTAAATCATAGTCTAAATACGTTCCTGAAATATGTACGTGTATCAGATTTGAAATGTTGGGGGATGACTTTGCATCATATATTTAAATACAAATAAATTTGTCTTTATTATTATATTTAGCAGCTTTTATTTTTGTATACTAGGAAATTAATATTCTTAGTTAGCACCATCAAAAAATTATAAAATCAAATTTCAGTATGAAATCAAAGAAAATTGCAGAAGAACTATAATTGTTGAAGTCTTTACGTTGTAATTAATATTCTCATGCAATAGAAATTTTGAGCTATCTACAATCTACAACTCTTCGAATTTATATCAGAACAAATCAGCTGTAAAAGTGTGAAGTCAAGAATTGGTGCAGGATTATGACCTGCACCAAGGATTTAGGATATGATATGCTTAATAAGACGTTTAAAATCAATATATGTATGTCATTATAAAAAAACAATCTATAGAATTTGTAAAACCTATAAAAGAATTATATTAATACATCCTTAATGCCCCGAATTAAGATTACAGACATCTATATTTAAAATAGATAGTTCTTCATGGAATAAAAGATGAACTTTATTAGAAAAATCTCAAATAGTTGATTTTCCTTGCTATGTTTATAAAATAATACTTAACATACTATTAGTGAAGCCAGATCATTACTAAAAAATTGACATCCGACGAGTAAAAAAGGAAGACTAATGTAAATTCAAAATATACTACAAATAATTTATTTAAAAATCAAATTTCAATTTCAATTTATATACGTATAAACATATAGTAATTTCTATATGCATATTTATTAAAATTATGTTATGCAAAATATAGCACCTTGAATTAAAAATGCTTGACAAGAATATATAAAATAATTGTACTATTTTAGAGCATAAAATGCACAGAGAAATGAATCTTATTGAGGACTCTAGGAAGAATAAGTACAAGTCTTTTTAAAAGACTAAACCATGATGCATATATTATGATTGAGTGTTGAATGATAAATTTATCTTTAAAAATATGCGGATAACTTCAAGTACATATATTGTTTATTATCAATATTATGTCCATTATTGCATATTCTTTTTTAGAATATCTCGCATAGTGTATTACAAATTGTAACCAAATAAATAACAAATTCCTGCAAATAATATAAAAAAGTGTAATTAGAAGCATAGAGTTTTATATATTATTACAAAATAAATAGCAAATTCTTCCATTTTCAATGAGAAATAAGTTAACTTATCGAGATCTTGAAGAATAAGTCTTTGAAAAAGACTAAACCTTGATGCATTACATTATGAAGGAATGTTGAATGATGAATTTATCCATGAAAATATGCAGATTCCACGACTTCAAGTGTATTTGTTCGTTATTAATATTATGACCATTATTGCAAATTCATTTTAAGTAAATCCTTCCATTTTCAAATAAAAAGGGAGAAATAAATGTATCGAGAACTTGAAGAATAAGTCTAAAAAAAAAAAATCATAATGCATACGAAGTAGTTATAAATAAATAATAAATGATAAATTAGTCTATGAGAATATGCAGAACCTACAATTTTTAATAGATTGTCTATTATTAAACCAGAATTTCTATAATGGTGAATTGTTGTGAAAATATGTAGAGTCCATAATATTAAGTCTATTATTATTTTCATTATTAAGAGAAATGAACACATTGAGAACTTGAAGAATAAGTACAAGTCTAAAAAAAATCATAATGTATATTAAATAGTTATAAATAAATGATCAATTAGAAATAAGTCTATGAAAATATGCAGACCCCACAAATTTCAGGGTATTATTTATTATTCATTATTGTGCTTATTTTTTTTTTTTTTAGAAAAACTTGCATGGCGTTTCACAATTTATGAATGAAAAATCATGCAAATATTTTAGAAGCATGGAGTTAAATAATAAACAAATCTTTCCAGTTTCAAATGAAAGAAAAATAAACTTATCGAGCACCTGAACAATAAGTACAAGTCTAAAAAATAATCATAATGTATATTAAATATATATAAATAGATAATAAATAGAGAATTAGTTTATAAAAATATTCAGAGCCTACAATCATCTGTTATTATTATTTTCATGAATGTATATGCTTATTTTAAAAGATATATTTAATAAAACAAATATTCCTATAAATAATAATGAATTGTTTTTGGTAAGTTGTGCCCAAAATATTGGATATTATAATTTTCATTATTGCATAAAAAGGAAGTCCTGCAAATAATTTAAAAAAGGTATAATCAGGATCTAATGAAATTTTTGACGTTTTGTTAAAATTATATGGTCTTAAAATAAAATACAATCAGCGTGAGAAACAACATACTATTATTCTCCAAAATTAAATTAATTATAGCTTGATTTGAAGATATTTTTTGTGTCAACAACAAGATAGAATAAACAAATAAACATGAAAAAAAAAAAAATAATGCATATAACATTTATAACAAAGCCGATGTATATTATATTTGTATTATAAGTCTACTTACATTTTACAGCATGGTCCACTCTTTAACAATATCAAAATAAATCTTCAAATAATTCAATGTTACTGCAAGCAAAACGGCTTCAGAATGACTTATAGGTTATGTATTGTATAAATACATTTAAAATGTCACACATAACTTGTTTTAACTATTTTTCCAATTAATTCCACACACATAACCGCGTTCACGGTTTCAAAACGTGTTATAATAAAACAATTTATTTAATTCGCGATATTTCTATTAATAAATAGATAAAAAACGGTGCCTGAAGAGTAGGCGTACGTCAATATCGTCGATGGTCGTTTTGTGTAATGGCGACTTCTTTTAAAACTCTTCTAGTGGAGACACCACAATACGTATTGCACTCGCTTTTTTCTCATACAAAGTCAAACGCTTTCTGAGGATAAAGATTCAGCACGCATGTCTGAAATGTGAGACATCATGTTTAGACATGAAGTTATTTTTTGTCTCCTACTTTTGTTAACCTTAACGAAATTTAAATTTAACGAATCGGGATAATCATAGATAAATAAGCATAAATGGGGATAATATTATAAATAGACAAACCATGAAATAATATTTTTTGTAGCAATACGTTATTTATTATTCTTATTGTTATATTTTATAAATGATTTCATATCTCAAATCCGATTTGCTAATTTTATCTTTTATCAAGTCATTCTGAATCGTTTGGCACCAAACATGGACCATTGCAATTGATATTTTGCATTTGATATCGACTTAAATCAATAAGATTTGACTATTAGCTTCAGCTTTTTGGATAAAACTTTTAACTGCTTAAGTCAGTGGTAGCCAACCTTTTCGAACCGCGCTCCCCTTTTTTTAAAAAACATTCTTGCGCCCATAGATAAAAGAAGAGTATTGCGCCCCCCTTAATATTTCTAACTATTTATTTTCATCCAACTGATGTTATTATAATTTAAAAGTGCATATTATTATGAAATATAATTTGTTTATATTGAAAAATTCTTGGAACGTTGTTTATGTTAAAAATGCAACTCAAGACCAGTTTGTATCTTTTATTGTTACTGACCAATTATTTAAAAACGATTATTTCTGATAATATATAAAGATAAACATTTTGTTTTTCAATAAATATAATTCATTTGTTTCTTTAAATATTTCAGCATTATTTATGCAATAATATAAATAGTTACATTTTAAGTTGTTTCAATAAATCGTAATACTTTTCATATATTTCTCATACAAATAATAAATGAATAAATCAAAAATAATATGTTTAAGTATTTATACTACATAGAAATTGTAATGTTAACAGTTTACAAATCAAAAAAAAAACATTTCTTAAAAACTATTCAAATATATTAACATCTAGATTAAATTTATTTTAAAACTTAATTTAAAATGCTTAACAGAGAATTAAGACAACATGCCTTACTATATACAAGCGTACTAAGTTATTTTTTACCATGAATAACATCAAGTACTTTATCTACATCAAAATCTTTGATCAATTGTGGATTACAGGGTTTTGGCCTTTTATGATGAACTTTGTCAGCCTCATCAGTCCGTTTTCTTTTAGAATGCTTTTCATCTCTTGAAGAGCTGGTTTCATGTCTAATTCTAAAATAAAAAACTAAACATGTATATATAGTTTTTGATTGGATGTAGTATCTCCATGTGGATATTAAAAGTTAAAAATTTACCTTTCTTTATGATTTGTTTTCTTGGAAGCTGATTTATGATCATCATCTCTGGATCTTTTTGAACTCTCATTGCTCTTCTCTGCTTTTTTTGTTTCCTTTTTTTGTTCATATCTGCCCTTTATAGGACTATCCTCATATAAATTAGCACAAGGTGTCGTCCTGATTTCAATTTTTTCTTGTGAGGAACTATGTTTTGATTCTCCCTGATCTTTTGGTACTGTTGTTTCAAAAAGTATATTTAAAGGAGTTTTTCTTTTCGCTTTTTATGATTGATCTCTTTCTGTTTTGTCTCTGTTGCACTTTTTTGCACTTTTTCTATCAATTTTTTTGATGTTGCTGGTGGAATATCCAAAAGCATGACTAAAGGGGTTATGGTCAAAACTCCTTCATCTCCTACATTTACTCTGAAATTATTAATATCAAAACCATCATTCTTTTCCATCTGGTTATTTTTCCGTAAATTATCATCTTCAAAACATTCTTCATATACAGTATTTTCAAGCACACTGAATTCAAATGAACATTCATCATCGGAACTATCTTCCTTATTATTAGATGAGGCGTCCTCTTTTAATTCCACATCTGCATTTGAATCTTTATTTTTATTTTCTACAGTTTCTTTTTCTGATACTTCTTTATTAATTATTTTTCCATCAATAATTGGTGAAGAGTCAACTGTGATGCTCACATTTTCTGAATTTTTCTGGTCTTCAGGTTTAGACACTACAGGCTCATCCAAAGGCTTTAAATTGTTTTCTTTGATTTTAATAGATTCAACAGTTTCTTGCTTTGGAGTATCATTTTCTACAATCGGAATTTCCTTAGTGTTATCAGAATCATTGGATGTCTTAGTTGATTTTTCATAAATATCTTTCTTCTTTTGAATGTAATCAAGATTACCACATTCAGATTCATCATCACTTATATGTAAGATTGGGAAAGAAGTATCAAGGTTTTCCTCTAATTTGCAATGCTTTTCATTTTTGTTCAAATTATTAGTATCTAAATTAGGGGGTTTATTTTCTGGCAAGCATCTTTTTCTGGGAGAATCTGATTTTCTACGATTTTTATTACTTGAAGTACGTGGATTATCCAATTTAGTTTTGCTTGAAAATTTGCCACCATTATCACGTGTAACATTAATTTTGATTTTTGGCTTTGCAGGAATTGCATTGTTTGCTTTTCTAATGTTACCAAGTTTGGTTTTATTTTTAATAGGCCTAGTATTTTTCAAAGCTAAATCAGCTTTTACTTTATTCAAAATTCTTAATCGTTTTTCATCTAATTCTTGTAATAATTTCTCATTCGCTTTGCTGTAATTTGTTGGAGCAGTAATTTGAGGAGGAGATGTTTGTTTTTCAATAAAATGCTGTATATTTGAGCTTTCATTTTGAGCTTGAGAAGATTTTATTTCTGAAGCCTTTTGTGGTAGCTGGTTATCTTTCTTATTTACTGGAGCTTCAATCTGATTGGATTGAACTTCGCTAGCAATGCTTAAAATGGAATCTTCAGAGCTATTTGAAGTATTTGAAGAGCTGTCACTATCAGAACTAGAACTGCTACTGCTGCTTGAGCTACTATTAGTTGAAATATCCATATCATCACTATCATTGTTCGTTGTATCATGAATCTTTTCATCAGCAGTTTTTGTTGACTCAGGCACTACAGCCGATTCATTATTCACTTTCTGTTTGTGGGTATTCACCTCATTTGATTGATCTGGTTTATAATAAGAATTCAAACCATTCTTCTCATTTGCCTCTTTTTCTTGATCTAAATTCTTAACATCCGGGGTTGAAGATGCTGATGCAGATGGTGTAAGAGGAAAATTAGGTGTTGGTATCCCACATTTTGCTAACGAATTATTATCAGTATTATGTTTTATTTTAGAAATAGGTGTATCTTCTACTTGTGATATATTTACAAATCGTGGTGTTTTGGGAACTAATCCATCTATCAACTTGAAAGGAGTTTCTAATAAATGAATAGCATCACTAGAATTTTGATCAGAATTGATGGGTTTTAATTCACATCTTTGCCTACTGTTATCCATATCTTCATAATTAATAAAACCAGAGGTAGCAGTTTTTGAATTAATTTGATTTGTTGAATTTCCAGTAAGTTGATCTTTATCACTCAGCTTTACTTCTGTTATGTTGTCATTGGTCATAAAAACTGCTGATTCATCTTGAATGTTGATGAAATCAGTATTGTTTTTGGGTATTTCTTCTTTGCTCTTAGTTGTAGATTTTAAGTCTAGTCCCTTGATTATATCAGATCCACGATCATTCAATTGAAAAACATCGTTATTTTTTTCTACGGATTTGATAGTGGTATTTTCTTGCACCTTTTCTATATTTTTAAATAATATATTACTTTCAAACTTATTGTTTTCACCACTAGAATTCTTAATTAGATTTTCCGATTCATGTTTTGCCTCTACTGCAATTTGCTTAATTTCCTGTTTTTCTTCATGATTGCTTTCATTTCCTATTATTGTGTTGTTTGAATGTTTTCAGAATCATTTTTACATTTATTGACAATATTGCTGTTACTAGACTTTTGGTCATCAGTTTCCTGGTTCTTGGTACTTTCAATATCAAGATTACCAGTAATTTTGCAACCAGAATTTTTAGATACATCAGTAGCATACAATTTTTATCATCTTTTATCTCAATATCTTTTCTTCCAAGATCTAAACTGTCATCGATGGTAGGTAAGGATTCTTGTGTAGTTTTTTCAGTTGGAAGATAGTTTTCATTTGATGTAATTGATTTTTTCTTTGTTTTGTCAGACATATCTGTTTTTTTATTAGTTTTTTCTAATTTCTTAGGTGATTTTTGTATATTTTTTTCTGTGCCATTATTCTTTATCTTTTTACTCATTAGCCTTGTGCAGCGAACTGTTGCTGGAGTTTGCAGAACCATTGATCTTAAATCACTGTCCCATTTATTTTTTTGAGTAGTTTGTGGCTTAATATTCTTCTTTTTGAATATTGTAGATTTATATTGATATTTTTCATTGTCTCTAGTATCTTTGTGTGCAGCTTTTACATCTTTATCTTTAGATGTGATTGTAGAATCACTATTCATGCTGAATTTACTAGCAAGCTCTGATTCATTCGATTCACATTCTGATTTTAATGTACTACTTTGTGAGGTTTCTAATGAATGGTCTGCATTTTTTTGTGTTTGTTTACTTCTACCAACAATTAGATCTAATCCTTGCACTGAATCCCAAGCACCATTTAACTTAATTGCTGGTGAACGAGAAATTTTATTACTTTTCAATGAAATGTTTACTTGTTCAGTTTCTTCTGGTTCCTCTAATATAAAAGTGCATTTGCTTTTTGGAGATCGAAATAGAGCAGATCTTATTGGCTCTTTGACATCATTACTTTTTGTAGCTTTTTGGACAGTTTTGGGACTAATCCGTACAAATCCAGATTTAGGAGATGTTGCAGCTTTTCTACTGTAATTCATTTTTGGAGGTGTATTAAAATCGAGAACTCGAACATGAGATTTTGTTCTCCTTGGTGTTGAAAGACTAGTTCTTTGTTTTATTTGCACAGTTGTTAAATCTGGTGTATCTCGCTCAACAACATCAATAGATTTTGATGCACTTATTTCAATTTTCTTATTATCGTCTGTGGAACACTGGGGTACCAATAAATTTTTTGGCACTGCTGGTGCAATAGGCTTCACACTATTTGATTTTATTGTTGATTCAATCTTGTTTTCATCTATAGTAACAGATAATTTTGGTAAACTAACATTTTGTAAAGGGGATTCATTAATAAGGACAATTTCTGTAAATGGTTTAGCATCCACAGTTTGTTTGTGTTGTGATTTGCATTGCTCAAGTTGGGGTAAGATTACCGCCTTAGGCTTTTTTGTTGATTTAGAGGACTTGCTGATATCCAATTGTAGAATTATCCTTTACTGCAGAGGTCACTGAAAATTATTTTATATTCTTATATATTATAAAAATTGGTTTATAATGTAGTATTTCATTCTTTATTGAAGAAAATTGAAATCTAAGTAATAAAAAAATAATAATTTTGAAATTATTCCTTTTTTTAAGAAATTATAGCTTGATTTACTAATTTAAATGTATGTGTGTGTTACTGTATTATTCTAGGTAATAATCATACCTGGTGCAGACTGAGGTAAAACAATAAAGGTTGGAACTGCCATAACATCATTTGATTCATTATTTCCATTATTTTGTATTGGCAAACTCAATGGAGTGTTTATTAAATACACTTTATTTTGATCATCTTCTATAAAATGAAATGGCTTAACAATTTTTTTAAAAACAATATACTCATAAAATAAAATAATAATTACCAGTATTGCCAGTCACAAGATATTGCGGCATATTTGTATTAAGAAACATATTGTTAGTGTTAACAGCAGGCAAAATATAATGAGTATTCATTGAATTTGTACTCTCAAAATTTAAGGTGTTTGCAGGCTTAGTTTGAATGACAGTGCTGTTACAAGTATTAGCAATATTAAAATCAGATAAATTTCTGTGCACTACCTCATTTGATAAGATAACTATTTTGTTATCATTTTTGCTATTGCTAACATTCATTTTCCGTAAAGATCCACTCACATCTGCATCATTTATAGCCATTGCTAGCAAATCAATTGGCTTTGAGGATTTAAGAGGTGTTTTATCGACTTCCATTACTGTACTAGTTGAACTTGAACTTTTTGTGTTATTAGTTATATCCTCATTGTCCACTTTTAATTTACTTCGAAGTCTATTTTTAATTGAATCATCTGTTGTATTTTTGTTATTTTTCTCAGATTCCTGATCATCTTTATTGGTGGACTTACAAGATTCTGTTGCAGTTCTAACTGGACTTGTAGTTGTGTTCAATCTGCAAAGAATATTCATTAGAACATTAAAACGATTTAAAAGCGTAATTATATGATAAAACATTTTTATTCTTTTTCATTAACTAACACTGCTATTTTAGATTTTCCACTTGCATGTTCCGGAGTCGATGTAGTCGGTCTACCTGGACTAGTATCTTCAGAAGAAGTTGAACTTGGAGCCTCTTCAGCCACTTTTACTATAATATTATAACGCACAATATGATTACAAGTAACAAGTGTAAAATAATTTAATGATGTACAACTTACAAACTAAATCATTTAGAAGTTCATCAAAGACGTGATCCTTTTCTGTAGCATTCACAATATCTCTTATCACATTATTTAAATGTGTTTCCAAATCTACAATCTCCATATCACTAATTTTTTCATTAACATTTTCAACAACTTTTGAAGGTGTTTCAGAAGTTTTACTGTTTTTCTCTTCATTCTTAGTCATTGATGATAAATAAAGTTTGTTTATGTTTTCTGCAATTTTTTCATGAATATCTGTACGTTCCAAAATTGTTTCTGTCATTAACTGTAAGAGTTATTAGAAGATTAAAAACAAATCAAAATATATAAAATATTGTTTTTTTTTTGCAAGACATACCGTCATATCAAAACCTTCATTGGTGCAACCTGTTGCTGTTTTTTCTATTTTGGATTTACTATTATTTCTTATAGCTTGTTTTTTAGAATCATTCTTCATTTTTATTCTTCTACATGCATTACCTCTGACAAATGAATCCAAATTACCCATAGTTAAATTACTAATATTTCTATCATTATCATTCCCAATAACTGTTTTATCATTTTTTACAGGAGAAAATGCCAAACTGCATAAGTCTGAGCTCTCATCAGACATAACTGACTCAGGAATATTGGATATAATTGGTATTCCATCCTGAACAATTAATGAAGTATTCGGTAAATTTGGGCCTTCTACAGATTTTAATTTATTTATGTTTTTTGTAGAATGTGAGGGCTTATGTGATTCATTATTAAATTCTTTTATATCTCTGAAAAAATCTACAATTAGAGCAAATTCTCAACACAATATTTGTTTTGTACTGGTACCTTTTTGAAGAAGTGCTCAAAGCAGCAGATTGCTTTTGAAGAATTTCAACAAGTCTTTGTACTTTTTTGGCAATTGTATTAGCATCTCCAAAGAATTTTGACACATCCGAATTTTGCAAGGCACAAACTAAATAATATATTTAATATAGAAAACAATGTATAAATAAATAGAGTATGGGTAATGATAACAGTATCTTACTCGAACACTCAACAGAACTATATTCATCCAGAATATTAGATAGGCCTCTCATTTTCCATTCATATTCGTGAGGTTGTGCCCCTTTTCTTATCATTCCGCGAAGCTCTTTTAAATGTGGAGAGCTTATTAAAAACTCTTTGTACGCTCGATAACATTCTTGTTCTCTCAAATAACCTAAGTCATATTAATAAAACATATCATAAAAAATCGAATGATTACATAGTTTAAATGAAGTACGAATTGTGAAAGGAATAATAAACAAATCAAAAGATGCAATTGAAAACTCACCTAATACTAAACGAGCTTTCTCAGAAGGTAACAAAACCATTTTGAACACTTTAATACACTAATTAACACTTAAAACAATAGTATAAAAAACTAGAAACAAATACATTTTTCATTCGTTCATTGCTAAAACAACTCCCGGGCTTTCATAACAAACATTAAAGTTTTGACGGATAGACAAGAAGTAAACTTAAGAAATGTGAAAAAAGTATCACCAACAAAAAGAAAAAATGCATTAACATTTTAAATATTTACTTCAGAAAGACGGGAGGAAGTAAATAATGATTAATAAGTTTTTCCACAATCCCAATTCTTTAAAAATACTTCACTTAAAAGTTCATCCAAGTCCATCGTCCACCAGTTGTCTTTAGCAACTTTGCTATAACATTACCTGGTTTGATTACCCCACACATTTTTAACTGTTTTTAGTAGGTAAATATTGTTTGTGTGTTATTCTGTAATTTTTTCTGCACGCTTTCTTTCATATCCTGAATAATTATTACTATTTCTTTCGTATCTATTCTAACTTTATTTGATTTTTAAATTCTATTCTCACTTCATTTTGAATTTGACAGTTCTTGTTCTCATATTGACATAATAGACTCTTGCAAGATTATTTCACAACCATTGAATCATTCATTCTTTATTTTAAATAATTATAATATAATCTGAAATAAAAACATATAGAAAATTTACTTTAAAAAGTCTTTATTCTGCAACTTTTCAGAAGTTTAAATCATTTGCTTTATAATGTGTGAAATTGTTTGCAGAATCTGTATGATTCAACAAGAAAACATGATAGATATATTTCAATATAATATGGGTAACGATGCAGCAAATGCTTTTTTAATGCGTTTCTGTAATGTTATGGTAAAAAATTCTAACACTTTATATAATTAGACATATATTAATTGTATTATTTATATATTAGATTGTGCAAGGAGATGGGTTACCTTCCAAAATATGTGTAAAATGTTTACGCTGCTTAAAAACAACATATAAGTTCAAAAAGCAATGTGAACAAACTGATTTTATTTTGAGACAAAAAGTACAGGAACAACATGCCTTGAAACAAGAAAAGGTATAATTCAATATTTTGCCCATTTTGCCTTTTTTTGAACTGATGAATTTATTTTAGGCAGATATCAATTTGGGAATGCATAAGCAGCCAGAATCTAATGAAAATGAAAACAAATCAATTTATCAAAATTCATGTGATAATTTTTACCCAACATATACACAAACAAACCCAGAACAAACACCAATACAACAAAATGAAGAAAGTATTAAAGTAATAGCTAATATAATTAAAGAACCTAATCTTAAAAAAACTAAAGCTAGAAAAAATGCTACCTGCCCAGTTTGTTACCAAAAATTTGTGTGTTATGAAGATTACCAAGTTCATGTTCAAAAACATAACGGAGATATAGAAAAGCCTTATAAATGTAAAGCTTGTGGAAAAAGTTATTTATGTGCTTCACTATTAAATAGACATTTATTCACACATACCAATACAAAGTTATATGAATGTTCTGTGTGCAAAAAGGATTTAATAATTCTGCTCACTTGAAATCACATATGTATGTTCACACAGGCGAAAAGCCATTTAGTTGCAATGTTTGTGACAAAGGCTTTAATCAGATGCCTCATTTGAAACGACATATGGCATCACATCATAATATTTAGATTAATTTATTCATATTATTTATTAATGTAGACAAGAAAACATTTTTGTTGTAGGTGTAATTTTTATATGTAATGCAGTTCAGCAGAAAATACAATTTAATTTCATATTCTTGTTATTATTGACCTATAATTATATAAAAATTGAACAATTATTAAAAAACAGCTTGGCAATCGTCGTGCAAAAACTAATTCAAGCCAGTTCCTTGAATTATTTTTACGGTATATTAATATATATTATGTGTATTTGAAATATGGGAAGAAAATTCTTCACACAGATGTGTTCACACAGATGGCAATGGTAGTACACTTAATTCAAATGACATTTTGTTGAGGTTAGTTATGAAAATTGTATTATTTAACTAAAAAATTAGTAATTACAAGCGTATCATATAAAAATGATATTTCATAAGATATACATTGACTTTTTCCTTTGCATTTAGATATTATTGACATAAGATGATATAAGGATCCATAAATGCTTACCTGCACAACGGCCTAAGACATCAGATTTCTTACCAACAGGAATAATTTCTTCATTTTCATTTGTAAAGCTTTTTCCCCAGCTAAAGAAAAATCGCAATGGGCAACTGGCAATTAGAAGTTATGAAAATGGCTGTATACCTCTCATTTCCAGTAGCATGTTTCCATTATTTCAATCAACCTGCACTTTTTGAAGAATGGGTCACTCATGTAAAGAGAGAAATGTACCCTCCAGAAAACGCGAGCCATCGGGAACAAATTGAAAAAATTAAGAATGTTATGCAAGAAAGATATGAGCAACAAATGTTGGAAAACCTGAAAGCCGAAAAAAAAATGCAATAAAGTCAAAGAAAATCAACTAACTCAATATTGAATATATGTACATATTAGTATATAGTTATGTATTTAATGTTTATTATTACATGAACATTTAAATCAAATGTATTTGTAAAATAAATGCTGCTTGTATTATAATTGTGCCAATGTATTATTATATAGTCCAAAAATGTGATAGTAAAAAAATATATATTAAAATTATACATAGATTATCTTATAAACATAATATTTACAATAATTAAATGAACCTACATTAGTACAAGTCAATTTAGCTATAAGCTAATTACAAATATGGAATAATCTAACTTCAAAATTAATGATCTACGTCCCTGCAATGTGCAAACATATTTTGAAAAGGTCCCCAAAAAACGAATGCGATAATCCTTCGCATGGAAGGGACACTATATGCTAATACAGATTTTTAGAGATTTACAGACCGATATATATGTTTGCATGCTACAGAAACAATCATTAAAATTATATTATTGCCAAATGTAAAAATGATCCTGTATTGTATTAGCTAAAAGCTTGGATATAGAAATAATATCAATCCATAACCAAAGGCTTCTCAACAATTAATAAGTTGCACAGTTATATATGTGCATAGTATAATGTTCCCAGTAAGGTCATATGTATTCTAAAACACATAGATTAATATAACTCACTTATAATACACATATATACATAAATATAACAATAACTATATAACATTGTCACTTTTTAATATTTCCTAAAATAAAAATGAAGACATACAAATACAAGTTAAAATCAATTTTGTCAAATTGCCTACACTAAAGTGTTTAATGCACTTCATTTTGATTAAGTTTCAGGTACACTTTTTTTCACTTTTTTCATATAAATTTCTGTACCTTATATAAGTACCTATTCCGGTGTTCCTTTAAATAAATACAAAATTTGAGGAACTGATATATAAATTAAGAAATAATCATGATCAAGGTTACAGCTCAGCAAGTAACTTGATGTCAAGTTGTTCTTGTTGATTTTGCTGGAGGCCCCCTATCTGCAGATAACGCCCTTTCTCTTTTCTTACTGTTTTCGGTGTAATTATCTACAGCTTCCTTAGGTATTTTAATTTTCAATCCTTGGACGGGCCTCTGGTCTAAGTTCCCAGAATCTCTTGGTAAACTTTTTATTTTTTCCTTAGGAATTTTAATTTTTATACTTGGTTCAACAGGCATATCTATTTTGTCCTTTGGTATTGTGATTTTAATTGGAACAGGCTGAGCAGGATTCATCTCTATTGCTTGTCTATCTTTTGATCGCTCTTTATCCTTTTTATGTTTCTTTCGTTCTTCTTTTGTTTTATCTTTGTGTTTGTGTTTATCTTTTTTCTTTTTCTTTTCCGATTTATGTTTGAAATCATCATTTATTACAGGACTGAGGTTCTAGTGTACTTGGTACATTTGGTACTGACGTTGGAGCTATTGATTGAATTAATTGTAAAGAGTTTGCATTATTTGAATTGGAATTATCTAAACCAAGTAAACTCTCTTTTAATAAACTGCTTATTAGATCTGGATTTGTTTCTATGCCATTAGCAGATGAAATTTCTGGTAACGATGACTTAGCAATATTACTAGTTGAATGTAGTAATTCATTATTTTGTGGACTAAGTTTACTTCTGAAGAAATCACCATAATCAGATGTATCTTCAAGTTTTTTAACAAGAGGCACTAACTCTGGATCTAAACCACTATTAGTCCTTGTCCGATTTCTTGATCCAGAATTAGATTTTTTCAGTGGTGAAATGAATGGTGAAATTGGTCTTGGAATGTTTGGATTATTGCCAACTGTTGGTATAACTGGTGTATCTGTTAGACGCATTGCGCTATTTTTTAGGCGTTTCTATTTTACGACCATTCGGGCTTGTGGGTTTCTTACTGTTTGGAGTTCTTGCTTCTGTTTTAGATTTCTTATAAAAACTAGTATCTTTGTTATCTGGACTAAATATTGATGGTTTAGGTGGTGTCTTAATCACTTCACTTTTAGGTGTTTCTTCTAATATGGGTAAATTATTAATCGCTGGTTTCATTTCAGGCTTCATTAACAATTTGTTATTATTAGGTAATCCATGTTTATTCACAGCCGGTAAATTGTTCTGGTTTTTATATTCATGATAATTAGGAGGTGGTTTTTGAGGAATGCTTTGTTGCATGGCATATTCATTCATATTACTCTTACTCGTCATATTATTGAATTCTCTTTTCTTCATATCCATTGACATCTGAGGGTTAGGTTTGAGTTTCATATCTTTATCACTTTTATAGGGATCAATCCTAGGTACTGCGCCACTAGTTCTTTGATCTGTACTAATCATCCTGTTTTGATAGTTTTCGGGCACTTCTTTGCTTCTATCTGTATATGCATTATGTTGCGGATACATTTCAGGTTTATGACGATTATGAGTATTTTTATTAGGTATCGCTTCAGGAGGAAGCCTAGGCCTATTGACATTTTGCATTTTGTTATAATCTAATTGATGTTTCATTTTTTCATCAATTTTCTTATGGGCATCTCTAGGAACTTGTGCCATGTTAGGATTTTGAGAATTATAATGAGGTTGGCTGATGGAACTGTGGTGATTTGGATGATTTGGATGTTGTTGCGAGTAGGAAGACGTTTGGGCCAAATGTGGCACTGAAGGCATTTTATGCTGGCCATGTTGTCTATGCTGACTCGCACTAGCATGACTTGAGGATTGTGAACTATGACCAGGGTGCCCACTGCTGTGCATGTTTCTGCTGGATGAAGTATGTTGCCTATGGTGGGCCTCTTCTTGAGCTGCCAGCGCCTTCCTACTATCTCTCTCTTGGCTGCTTGATTTTGTATCGAAATAATGGAGAAATTCTAATGTTAGTCGATCTAACAACTCAGTTGTCACAGATGTATCAACATATTCAAACCAATGCTTTCCTTCTTTAGATTGTGGTATTTGCCAATTGGACCACTTACAAGCAACATGAATGCAGAAACATGCGACCACAGTAGGTTTATATTGTAAACACATTGTTGTTTTATGCAAAGTATTAGAAGCCATGAAATAGGATGACTGTGCCAGATCTTTGGAAGCACGTACTAAATTACATGTTTTAACAACATGTGTATGAGGATGATCAATGGGCAGAAACATGCGACCACAGTAGGTTTATATTGTAAACACATTGTTGTTTTATGCAAAGTATTAGAAGCCATGAAATAGGATGACTGTGCCAGATCTTTGGAAGCACGTACTAAATTACATGTTTTAACAACATGTGTATGAGGATGATCAATGGCTACATCAAATCCTAAGGTTTGCAACAAAATATTTTCATTAAAAATTAGGTCTTGAGTTTGTTCAAGAAAATGCTCTGAACTAACATCTATCCTACCACTCTTGGGATACAAACAATTGTGACCAGCTTCAATAACACTTTGTAGTTTACGAGGTTGTTCCTCTACTTTTGCTGCTAAAAATAAACTAGCTGCAGCTATATGATTTCTGTGAAAATGTGTGAATGAGTGAAAGGCATAAAATCTGTGCATATACACAATAGCAGTATTGATACACAATTGAGACACCATTAAAGCTTGGCCCATATTTTGAATTAGGTCAGCAGCTTGCTGTCTGTATTTTGATTCTTGTTGTGGATCTATCCCGCATCTTCTGCTTGGCGAATCTGATAATTGTTCCTTGGTAAAATACCATTTTTCTTCCGCCATTTAATTTTGCGTCAGACTGTGTTCTAGTTTTGTTTTGTTCTTTTATTAATATTGCCTTACATTTATTGGTATTACTTTATGATGATATCTATTTGATCTCCAGACTTTCTAGAAAGGCTAAAATTAAAGAAAACATTCCGAGTTTGTAGAAAACTGTGATAAGTCATTAAGCAATGCCAATTCATTGATATTCGTATTGAGGTTATGTGGACCATGTTGAAAATCCAAAATTACGGATAAATACTGAAAATTAGAATAGCAAAGCATCTACTACTTACGGGTTATAGTTCCAGCAATGAAATTACGCTAAAATAAACACTAAATTTATCAATAAATACACAAAAACCTTGTTTTTATGATTTCGTAATATTTTCAGTTTTAGCATATTTCACATTTTACGTGTTGGCGTCAGGTACAACCTTATACCTAACTTCACTCGTTCTGGTTCCACAATGTTGTCAGAGCGGTATAGGCGCGAAATTCAAACGGACTAAACAAATCGTATATGTTACAATCACAAAACTATTAATATTTATGTTAATGACAAATGAAAATGTATTTAATGAGTATGTAAGCTATATAAAAAAAATCGTTCATAGAAAGAGAAGCTATAAATAATAATAATAAGTATGAGTTTCTTGCAATTTAATTGCAGGAATATTATTAATGTAGATCTTAGTATTTAATCGATATTTAATGAGTATTTTATTAATTAGTATTTATCAATTTATATCTGAGTATTATTAATGTGTATCTTAGATAAATATTGTAAGTTTACAGATATAACATTATTGTTTATGAAAAATAAAGCATATTCAACAATGAATGCTTTTCTGAGTAAAACTTAGACACACATTTAACATAAGCTTCATCATCGTAACAATACTAATTTACTTGAATCTTTTCTTATAAAGTAAGGAAAAATGATAATTTGATAAAGAATTTATGTAAAATTACTTAATCCACAAATCAAATGCTTGAACATCATTATGTAAAGCCTACTAAAGTATTTGTATCATCCATAGTTTGTTTTCCACTGCATAACACAACTGTTATTTTCTTGGATTATTCTATGTATTCTATTCTAATGAACTATATAAATTTCTTATTATTGTGTTATTTAAATTTCTTTTATTTTGAATGTTAAAATAACATTCCAATTAACAAAACTTATTAAAATTTTATTATTAAAAATCAAATTAAATTACTTAAATATTTATTTATATAAGTTATTACAAATGTATACTCATAAGTAATTAGCAAAATCACAATGTTTTAAATATATTTTATTTATTGATAATAATATAATAATATAATAATTCAATATAAGGCAGCTAGGCCATATATAATCATGTATAAATCAATATATTAATTTTATTTATTTTAATTATTTATTTACATATATACATTATTTTCATATCTCAGTCAGACAGAGGTGCCTGGTATGAGAGATTATGAAAAACAGTTTTCATATTTTATATATACATTTCATTTGACAATTTCATTAATATAATATCTATTATAATTAAAATATCTTTATATATAACTTCTTCTTTATATATACATTTATATATCCATTTTCCATAAAAATTAAGCAGCTTATTCATATATAATGATGGAAAAACCAGTATATAAATTCGTGGATAGCTTTTCGATCTTTCGATGTCGGCTCTTCCTATCCATGGTTTCAATCAGATCAGATTCAACTTGACGTTAGTTCCTCACGAACTGGGAACAATTTTGCATAGAGGCGCTGCATGCAATCACCTCTATGAATCTATAAATCTTATTGGATTCCTTTTTCCGCAAGAACTGTCAAACGTTTGACGTTAGTTCCTCGCGAACTGGGAACGATTTTACATAGAGGCGCTGCAGGCAATCACCGTAGGAGCTCAGAAATCTTATTGGATTCCTTTATACGCTTTTATATGAATTCAACTTGATGTTAGTTCCTCACGAACTGGGAACAATTTGGCATAGAGGCGCTGCATGTGCCAGACTTGCAAATATGGCGGGATATTTGAATGCGCTTTCAAACTCCGGGAAAGGTTTTGATGAAAAATTTGCATTTATATATCTAATATTAATATATACATTTGTATATATGATTTCCATAGGAACTGAAATGGGTTGAATAACAATTAAAATACATTTATTCTTTTCACATTCATTTAAATTATTCAAAGACTTTTGTAAAAATATTTTGAATTACATATTACAAAGTAGGTATAATTATATCACAATTTATTAGATAAATATACTTAAATTATTATAATTGTATATCATAGATAAATATTACAAGTTTATATATATAGCATTATTGTTTATAAGGAATGATCATGTTAACTTTATCTAATTAGTTAATACATTGTACATTTAATGCAATACAATTTTATATAGAGTTCTCAAATCGTAAGGATAAACTTACAGAAACATATTAATATTAATTTTAAATTGTATAAAATTACTTAAAAGAATAATAGATTTATATACAAAAGAAACTGTTCAGCTATTTTAAATATAGTTTTTTTTTCAAAAATAGTATTTTAAGACCTTGGTCTATCACAGATAAGCTACACAATGATTATTTATCGAAATCATTTTTTAGTTATGCTTATTTCATTCTCATTCATAATCAGTCTTATTTAAACAAGACAAATATTTACTACAATTTATATCGAATGATTTGAATTTCATATGAACTTAATATATTCTTTATATATTAAAATAAACTAGCTACATTAATGATCAAGTTTATAATATGAGTGAATAATATGATTTCTACTCAGCAGAAAATTTTAATAAGCGATTTCAATGAGACCAATATGATTCAATCGATCATATATAATATAATAATTACAGTCTTCTTTAATCTTTTCTTCGATGTAAGTTCTAATAAATATCAGGTATGGCCGTATTTCTAAATACTAAGTGAAGGCCTTTTTTTCCTGTCGCCTTTGCTGTTTTTTCCAAAAATATTGCCTAGGACCTGTGAAAATAAATTGACAGCCATAGCTTTAATACAGTCGGATACAAACTAGTTGTACATAAATGATAATGCATGTTAACAATTTTAATATTAATAAAATAAATAATTTTTTTCTTCTTTCTTTATTAGAATATTATTAATTTAATTGTTATTCATAAATATTTTAAACTTTTTTCTAATAGATCATATAAAAAAGACATTCCATATCTTGAACATGTAAAACATTCATAATCTTTTTTTTATTTTTTTAATTTTAATAAGTATTACAACTGTTAAATTATTAACATCTAGCTATATTAATGAATAATAACATAAATTTAAATAAATAAAAGTGCAAAGGATAAAATTTACATAAAAACAATATCCGTAATATGATTTGATATAAAATATAAGCAAATAATAATAAAAATAAAATTAATAAATAATATATATAAAATTTCTGAATAATAAAATAATACTAGAAAAATAATAAAATATAAAAAAATAACAATAATAGAAATAGTAAGATAATAATAATAATAATAATAATAATAATAATGTTAGCGTTTACAAATTTATGAGATCATTGAATCACATTCATAAATAATTTCATTTTGAAATTTGCCAATATAGATAGTGCATATTTGCAGTATTACATTTGGGGAATTTTTTGAGATTTCTTTAAATATCTCTATAAGTGAACTTATTCGCTTATTACTAGATCTTATTCGCTTAATTTAACATTGAAAATATTTATTTATAAGAAAGAATGTGGTCAAGTTCAAAGTGCTGTCATATATGAAGAGATTTGATACTATGGCGAGAGCAGCAAGGACTTTGAGGCGGCCGTACTCTCAAACTATCAATTTTTCAAAAAAACGGTTTTCTAAAGAATTGTAGAAAATTTTATCTAGTTTAATTCGTACATAGATACTTTTATCGTAGAATCTGCCAGAAAGGAGATATTTTAAAAAAGCTGTTATTTGACGCCATTTTTCTAATATGGCGGCAACTTGCCGTTCAAATTTGAGGTGGCAAAGTTGATTTTCGTAAAGAGCACCTCGAAATCTATAAGATTACCAATTTTCAGAATTCCCGGAGTACTGTACCGGCAAAACGACCAAATGACTACACTAATAAACTGTGGTGTAAAAAACATAATAATTTTTAACTACTTGGTAAATATCAGTATAGGTTATTAAAAAATTGGAACTTTTGAATTGTAAGCATAAGTACGTCTGTCGGTTTGAAGGACAACGTCTGTCGGGATCTAGTATTTTATAAGAAGATACCTTGCTGACGCTGTTAACTCCAAGTTTGCGCCTGATGGGCAGAGCTCTTAGCAGCTGGACCGATCTGGCCTCTCGCAGCAGCGACTGAAAGGCGAGAGAGACTCCGGCGAAGTTCTCGGCGGCGCTCACCTCGTAGAACTGGCAGCCGTAGCGCAGCGAAAGCTCGTGGCCATCGTCTACGCAGATTTGCCTAGATAATAGAATTATGTGAATCATACAGGTAATTTATCCAAACATTATAATAAACTAATTATACAAATTAGAGATGGGCTTATCATATCCGAAGCCGAATCGGTCAGGATTTGACTCCGCTTCAGGGAGGAGTTATATCCACTTTACAACTCCACAACTCCAACAACTTTGAAACATAATACTTGATACAAATGTGTTCTCTAGTGTGTTGTTAACATATCTAAGAATTTATTAAGACTTTGGAAGCAGTTTACAAATAGTTCAAACATTTTTGTTTATTTTATTATAATAATTACTATTTTATGCATTTCAATATGCATACAAATCTCAAATTGACAAAAAACTTGGGAATCAAATCAATTTTGTAATTATTTTTGAAGAGAAAATATAGAATTTTTTGAATATGTTTATTTTTATATGAAAATAATGCAATGCAATATGTACACATGTTAACAGATTTAGTGCTAATTTCTATTCCCAACTCGCATATGGAATACTATTCTGGGGATTCTCATCGTAATCCTTAAAGGATATATTCAAAATACAGAAAAGAGTAGAGATGGGTAACTCAATCCGGAGTTATCCCTCCGATACAACTCCTCCCTGGGAGTGAATCCGAGTGGAGTTGTCTCACAGGATTTGTCATATCCGACTTCCCTAAACTGGTACTAAATCTGTTAACATGCGCAGATATTTGCTTGAGATTTTTTACTAATACAAAGATTTGGGTGGAAAGAAGACTTTTTCTCGTCTCACAGCCAGTTTTAGGACTTTCCAGGTATATAATGCCTCAAAATAATGCTATTTTGTATTCTATATTCTATATACGATAATGTTTGTCCGTAAATGAGCTCTTTCAATGGTATACAACCAGCTAAAAACATTATAATTGTGTAAAAGTAATAGTATGCTAATCAAACTACCTGATGTATAATTAATTCTCGAAGAGAAAATAATAAAAGAATGTGAGATATTATTATTTTGTGAAAAATAATATACACAAAGATTAGTTCTTATTTCATATATAAGGTTTACTGCATTATTTTCATATAAAAATAAATATATTCAAACAATTCTATATTCTCTCTTCAAAAATATTACAAAATTACTTTGATTACCAAGTTTTTTGTCAATTTGAAATTTTTATGCATATTGTATTTGCATTGCATAACGTATGGACACTTTTCATTACATTTCTAGTCAACTTATACAATTACAGCAATATTTCAATTTATACATTATCTCAACGTGATCTAAACATGATGGGCGCTCTTAGAATTATTATAAATAATCTAAATCTGAATCTAAATATACGGATGAAGTCCATCCATTGACAACTATTATGCACGCTCGTGGAGCATCTCTAATAGACCTCACTAAGACATCAATCTTTTTAAATGACTCTCGATTTCAAGATTTTGAGATGATTTATTGTATGAAATCAAACAGCTGACTATTTAGAGTAGAATCAGTGTAAGTGATATAATATACAGGGCAGGACCGTAGCGTAGGAGCCCTCTATCAAAATTTTTTTGGAGGCTCCCTTAAGAAGAATAAAGATTTTTAACAAAATATGAAAAATGCATGGAATTAAATGATTAAACTTTTCGAGACTAGGTTTGTCTCATCATCAGTGTGTTAATTAAAATCTAAAATATGGAAATCTAAATTAGCATTATGTGTTATCCGTTACAAGTCATTCCTTTTACTGCATTACCAACGATCGTCGGAGTCTGAATCCTCTATCCAAGGTCAACTAGGTGAGTCATGAAATATCAAAAAGGAAATAGAAGGAACAGGCCCCAGTTGAAATATATATATATATATATATATATATATATATATATTCACTCTCCTTGCCTTTTTATGTAGTTCACCAAAATCTTGACAAAAATTTAAAGTTGGTAAATTCTATTGTTCTAGAGATCGAAGTTAGCAGTCGTAACATCGCCCAGGAGCTAAAATTCCATACCATAAAACAGTTTTAAACCAATAAACCAAAATTTTAAACCAAAAATATTGGATTTCTTATTATTCAGCCTAATATAATTAGTGTATATCCCCATAATATAGGAATATAATCTACTATAGCATCCACAACAATCTCGTGCATCAATAAATTATATCATTATTATTGCTAATATTAATCAAATTTAACGATGACATAGACCTTTATACAGAATGCAATTTAATATTTAATATATCAGCAAGTATTGCAATTGTCGAGAAGATCTTCACGAGTACAATAATCAGGCGATTCTTTCACAAACAGATCTCTGAATACGATATTGATTGAAATATGCACGCAATGGCAAGTCAAGTGATCTTTAATAAGATGGATTCACGTTTTTGCTTTATTTATTAATTTTATTTTATATTACAGACATTTATTTATGAATAAAGCGAAGACATGATAGTGCAAATTCGTTTCTATGAGGTGTCAATTATTGCGCTTGTTGATAAATCGATTGGGTATATAAAAATAATCATATAAATAGATTTATTCAGAACTTTTCAGTTTCCATCGTCTAATATATAGATGTAAATGGCATTTTACTCGAGAAATTGCAAAAACGTCTTGATCAATAATAATTAATTGAGTCTTCGTATAGAGTAGTAATCCTCATAGAGAGTAATAGTCCTCGTATAGAGTACAATTTCCTCAAAGAGGAACAATTGATTTTTATATTATAGAAACGTTTCATAAAAAGAAGTTGAACATAAGAGACATTTTCTAATAGCTCCTCTTAACAACCAGAGTACATTTTTATAAATCACCTCTAAAAGAGTTCTCTATTTATTCCTTTCGACTACCAAAAATTTCTTGTTCATTTCAATTATGAATTTACTTCTCAATAAAAAATATTGTTACATAGAATAACTGTATATACTATTTGTTAAATATGATCATCATGTCATATTAATGATGTCTGGTTCCAAAAAAAGAAAAATAGACGTCAAACGCTGATTTGAATCATTTGAAATTGAAAGTTCAAAACGCATGCCGAACCTACGCTCTCACTGTTATAAATTGATATAACTAAAGGTAAAATATACATACATATATTATATACACATATATATATATATATATATATATATATTATAATATATTATATGTATTAGTATATGTTGTTCTGGATCTACCCTATAGGCAACATAATAATCAAATTAAATTAAACAATATTTTGTTACCAAGAGTTAACCAGTGGGGAAGTACCTACAATAATTTATCAAAAACTATTAAATTGAAACATCCACGTTTTAATCGTGTAATTATTTTTAAAATTATACCCACATCTCAGAATGATCTAAGAACTTTTCAAACGCACAAGACAAAAAAACTTTATTATCTACAAAGGATATATCGCCGCCAGTAATCTTCCATGTACCTTCTCAACTTCTGAATTTATTACTACAGCAATCTTCAGAAAATACCAAGAAATTGAACATGAGCAAACACAAATGTAAAATAAAATAAAAATAAAAATAAAGATAAAAATAAATAAATCGCAAGCGAGTACATTTTCAATGGCCATTAATGTCGTCTTAAAGGAGATGAATATATGCTGAAAGCTTCGCTAACATGAGGTACTTGAATTTTTGGATTTTTGAACAGAGTACTGTTGATATTAAATAATAAAAGATACATTAAGTAATGAAAAGATTTATTTTGTCAAAAGTATAAGGAGATACGTCTGACAAATTAAGAAATCATTATGTTTTTTTGTTAAGAATGGTAAGTTCAACGGTGGTCCCGTCGCTTTTTTTTGGATTATTAGTGTCTTATTTTGTTTCATATTAGCTATACCCATTGACGCTTTGCAGTGTTTTACTTTCAATTAAAAATTTGAACAAAAATGCATATTTGTTACAAATAGTCTACCAGTTTTATTGTTTTCCAGCCTATCTGCCTATATGACTATTTGTTTACATCTCTACCTGTCTACCAGTTTACCTATCAACCTGACTATCACTCAACCTGTTTGTCAGTCAACCGATTTACCAGTCCACTAATTTTCCTGTTCTTCAGATAACCTGTCAATCAATTAACCTGTTTACCAATCCACCATTTATCGGTTAACCAGTTTACCTGTTAACCATTTTATCTGTTAACTAATTTACCTGGCTACCAATTTGCCTGTTAACCAATTTACCTGTTAACCATACCAATTTGCCTGTCTACCAATTTACATGTTAACCAATTTATCTGTTAACCAATTTGCATGTTAACCAATTGACCTGGCTACCAATTTACCTGTCTACCAATTTACCAATCAACCTGTTTACCAGTTCACCAATTTACCTGTCAACCAATTTACCTGTCTACCTGTTTATCTGTCTACGTATGTATCTATCTACCTGTTTAACTATTTATCTGTTTACCTTTTAACCTACCAGTTTATCTGTCTACCGGTCTGCTAGTCTACCAATTACCAATTAATTAAGAAAGATAATGACTATAATAATTCTTATAAAATAGAGATGTGTGGCAGGAGGTTGAAAAATTAGGGTTGTTTTTTTATATACGCATTACAAAAAATAGCTATTGACATAAAAATTTAAAAAAAGTCTACAGGGCGGCCAACCCCTACCATTTGGATTCAATCAAAATATCCGAACTGTCCACGGATCTCCCTAACAATTTTCCAAATTTTCACAGTGACCAGACATATGATTTATGAATGCATAACAATTACACACACACAGACAGACATACATACATTCATTTTTATATTAAGATGTTTTTTTTAAGATTGTTGGTCAAATGCGACATTATCAAAGTCGAGCTAAATTGCGCCCTTTTAAATCTTGTATGTTAGAAAGTATGATGCAGGAAAATAGGACATAATAGGGCATTTGATTTGTTACAAAAAAGTTTTATAACTGCGAAAAGTTGTTAAATGTTTAAAATTAAAAATAGTATTATATATATATATATATATATATATATATGTATATATATATATATATTACTATTATTCCTTGGCCAAGCCT